GTCTTTATATAAAAGGACTATTTAGGCTTTTGGATTTATTCTTGCATAGAAACCGATTTTTCTATTATTGTGCCTGTCCACTGTAGGTGCACTTACACACACAGCAAGACAGGTTATGTGATTTCAGAAGCTTTTGCCAAACTTGAAGGACAAACAAGCATCACACTGTGAGGATGGCAGGGGAAAGAGTCAAGCACAGTTATTATTACACACACAAAGAGCGATGAAAGATGTGCATGCCTGTCCATTGGCAATGACAGTGTGAACCCCACCAGTATGCACGATTCTCCATCCCTTTCTCTGACTTTCACTCTCTCTGCACACAGGTGTAGAGAGAAACAGACAAATAGAAATAAATTCCTTTTTTCATAAATAACTCCCAATGTCAAGTGGCTGCTCTCATTGCTATTCACTGAGTATCAAAGAGAAATGCTTATTTGTGTCCGGTAACAGTAATCACAGTGTGTTTTATCTTACCACCAGGAGTTCTCCTGAATGTCTAAGCTCCTGAGAGCAACAGTTATTTGTCAATGAAGAGAATACTTCATCTAAAATGCAGTGAATGCTTCTTATTCGGGAACATGAAAACAAGTTCTTGAAAAAGGATCTTCTTTCAAGGATGCTTTTATGTATGCCAATCAACCACAACATAGAAACCACTGAAAGCAGAAGTGAATAATAACATTGATCAGTTTCTTACAATAAAATGCTCGTCATTCATTTGGATGTTATTCTGTCCAGTACCGCCCACACTGTTGCAGATCAGCAGTGTAGCAATGGCACTTCCCAAAGGCAGTGGCCTCCCGAGCAGGGCGAGGCGCTTCATGAAACTACTACAACTGATCCAAACTGCCAAGATCTCAATCTGACTGCACATGCATTGGATGGATCCGCAAAGGACCTACCCCGTAACCCACTGTGCCCATAGGATTTGTTGCCAATGTTCCAGTGCCAGACTTCACAGTACATCAGTCAGTCAGAGCTATGTTGATGGCATAAGGAAGACTTACACAATATTAGGCAGGTAGTTACATAAAAATAAATGTAAAAAGTGAGAGGGTTTTTTTAATCACTGATTAAAGCTAAGCACTCATGTTAGCATTATAAAATACTTGCAGTAACAATATCATTATGCTGATGTCTTTGTCACTGTGCAGGAGGCTAGCATGTAAACATTAACAGCCCCTCAACACAAAGCGCAGACTCGGCTGATTGGAAAGATTCTTCTAAAAACAAAACAAAAAAACAAAATTGAAGAGAATGAAATTTTGACCTGACAATTCCCATGTTATTGCATCGTTATAGAAAAGCCCACCTGCAGAGCAAAACAAGGCTTTCCTCTGCAGCCTGACAGTTATTTCATATTTGTTTAGCCAAAATGCTGGATAGCTGTTAAATTGGATGCACTAACAAGCCACTTGGTTTGCTCACAAGCACAGAGTACAGAAAATAGTGCACACAGCTCCCCTAGTCCTGTTATAAAATGCCATCTCACATCAATCCTCCCCTTCCGCAGCAAGACAGGTTGTCAGCGGTGATCTTTTAAACTGAATTCGATTAGATTCATGCCATTAAATCTTATTGAAAATATTACCGCCTTTTCACTACAGCTCCAGAACTAGCTAATATTTGCTGATTAGCACTCACCATTGATTGGACAGTGAAGAGTTTTGCGTCATTCACCTCTCACGGCAGCTTTATTGGCCTATCCAAATCAAAAATAGAGATAGGAAACCAATGGTTAACATCATAGTGGCTACATCCATCTTTCATATGCAGTCTATGATTGCACCAAGCATCAGTGTAACCCCCTACTCAATAAAGCAGTTGCCAAAGCAATTCATTTAAGCCCACAAATGGAGGCCTTGAAAAGGAAAGGTCAGGAGTTCATAAAAGACACGGGGATTGATCTTTGGAGAAAAAAATCTATATAAATGTTGGTAAGGCAATGGTTGAAAGGTAGGTGTTGAAATAGGAAAGGAATAAAAGAGAGTGATGGGTTGTGCAAGCATTTCTCAATTGACTGAACATCTTATCTAAAAGATTCAAGTCCGGTTTTCTATCAGATTTGAGTCTCTATGGAAACTTTCAAGATCTTCCCTTGAGTATTCTCTAAATGTTTGAGAATGCAATCCAAGTTCATATTATATTAAGTAAAAAAAATTTTTTTTAAAAAGTAGTTCCAACACCATAGCTGTACTTATTCATTCATATGAAATACAATTAAAGAAGGGAAGCTCAAGGTCTTCAACTCCCATCTTAATAGCTTCAGTGGCCTTACAACAATGAATGTTAAGACATTAAGACGTGGTGTGTGAAGTAGGTTGAGACATTTTAGAGAAGCAGGTGGAAAAAAAGAAAAGAGAGTAAAGAGAGAAGAAATTAATAATGGATGTTACTCGTTTTAGTGTGACAGATTTAATAAATGGTCATCAAAATGTTATAACTAAAAGATTAAGCTCCTTTCTGAATATTTTCATAATGAAGACGGGCTGAGCATCCTGAAAGTATTCTCTAAATGTTTCTGAATACAGAGCCTGCTCACACCACCTTAGTAGAAATAAGCTAAAGTAGTGCCGTGTTCATAGTTGCACTTACTCTTTAATACACAAAGTATAAAGTCTCAAGGTCTTAAACTTACTTCTAAATAGTTTTAGTGAGCATACAGGGAAGAATAAACAGAGAATAAAGGTTGGAATGAAAAACACATCATACTGCTTTTATGAAATATGAAGGTGTGATGGATAAGGCACGCTAGCCTTGCAACATGACATAAATCTTCCACAGTGCGCTCCTTGGCCTGGAAAGTACTGAATATAATATTGAAATGGTTTGACACAGCAGAGAAAAGTGTTTTTTTTCCCCGTTTTATTGTATAGCCATCACTTCAGCTATGAAGACAAATTATTAGGTCCAGTCAAGCACTTCTACTGTTATTGTAACTGGGTACGAGGGGGTGACGGTTCTTTGAATATTAGGAATTTTACATGTCTTCTTTATGGTGCATTCTTTCAGCATCCTTTCTTGTCAGATTCTTTCGGATTCCTTTGTCTCTCTCCCAGCTTTGGGAAGTGTTAACAGGCTCAAGGTAATGAAAGGCAGTAGCTAAAAAACACTTGACAATGCTGAATTACATGTTACAATTAGAAACATATTAAAAACAGTGGGAGATGGAAAGGCAAGGCCAATATGAGTCTTGATTGTGAAGGAATATACTACAGGCTTCTGTGTGTTTAAGCTTAAATAAAGGGCTGTATCAATAAAGTGTCATTTACTGTGGAGGAAGAATAGCTTTTCTGGAAGAGTATGAAAGGCTTCTTGCCCTATTGATTTTGTGTGATGTAGTATTTTGCTATAACCTACATCTGGTTCACTTATTTGACCATTACGCCCTTTTCTTGAACAACTCAACAATAGCAGGTGACTTTTTTGACAAGTCCTCCAACTTAAACATGGCAATATACAGTTTGTTTATGCTCTCCAGTTATCATTTGTCCAAACATTTCTTAAAAGATTCACTGGGCGATCATTTCTTTGGTTCTTGAAAGCCACGAAAGGATCAGATCAGCCAAAGAGTCACAGACGAAAGGAGACATGGTGACGTGCTAATAACAAATGCAAGGACTTACAGCTTACACCAAAAAAAAGAATAATAATTTTTAGGTGTTTTATACTACAGGTGAACTCACACAGCAAGAAAAACAAGGAAAAAAACATTTGCAGACCAGGACAAGAGAAAACATTACACAAAGGTTTAAGGTAGCTTATTATTTAGACCAAGATACCAGACACCAAGGCCATTAAAACAAAAATGTAAAATACCAAAATATTGTGCATACAGATGTGCTTGATTTTTCTATTATGCTACAGTCACACTAGGAAAAACAGTGACTGGAGACAGCAGCCCAATGAAAATATTTGCCACAGGGCCGTGGTCTGTGACCACTCACAGTCAGCTGTCTATCACCAGGTGACCTGCGCAGTCACATTGAGATTGAAAGTGGTTGTTCACAGGTGGAGAGTGTTGCACACTCAGCCTTTAAAGAAGCAGCTGCTTGTCACACAACTTGCAATTGTTTGCAAAGTGCAAAGAATTTCAATAAAATCCGCAGTCCATCCCTGATTTTTTCTACTTGCCATCAGTCTCTGTCCTATTCTCGCTCTAGTTTGACTGAGCTATTGATTAGTAAAAAATATAGAGAAATTATTATCACTCTGCTTTTAGGAAGAGGAAGGTGACAAAATGAAAAGAAACAGCAGCACTGTAGCAGCGATGACTTTATTTCCAGTAGATCAACTTACTGCAGGCCTTGTTGTATGATTTCTTTATTTTCTTTTAAGCGTTTAAAGTCAGTGGCAGAGAGCCCACATTTTTCCTTTTATAACCACCATTACAGGCCTTTGTGGGGGCGATTACAAATGTTCTATTTCTGACTACTGGACAAACAAAAATGTATTTCATGCTTGAATAAATGAAACTCTACTTAACAAAATTGGTTTAAAAATGCCTGTATTATAATTCTTGTCTTGGCTCAGAACAAAATCTCTGTGGAGGGGTGCCAAAAATTTCCTCCTCTCTTAGAGTATGTTTTCTTTTTTAAGCCAAATCAAGCTTAACAGCATCCCAGCTTGAAGTGGCTTTCTGATGTCACCAAAGAAAAAGTCAGAAAGACCAATCTGCACACAAAAAAACAGCTTCCTATTCTTCATAAGGCTACCAACTTAGTGAGGATTATGATTCCCTGACAGGCCAGAAAGAGTCTCAGAAGAAAGGGAAACGTGTTCAAATCAAAGTGCAAAAGAGAGCAGGAAAGGGAAAATGAAAGTATAATTGTGGTTTGGTCTTTTTTGTATTTGCTTTTTTTTTTTTTTTTAACCAAATAAACATCTTCAGAAAAACTGCTTCAGCGATGGAATTAAAACAAAACGATGACTCATACAAGAGTGTTTGAAATGCACAGGCAGAAGGTAAATGTTTGCGAGATGCATACAGCAATGTTTAGGTATACCGAGCACCGCACACATTAAACAGACTACTTTCACAATCCCCCACAAACAACAAGCACTATCTATTATGCTCACTGCAGATTCAGCTAAGTAGGTATTTCTTAATTACACCTCACAGATAACTTCTCTTGTTATTGGGTTCAGACATCAAAAAGGAAAGATACCATCTGTAGACAGAAGCACTGCTTTAATCCACATTTTCTCTCTCCACACACACGCATACATGTACACACGGAGAAAGAGATCAGCCTCTGCTAGCTTTTTCCTCACCTTGAAAATAAGATTAAAATGTTATCGGTTGTACCACCTGCACAGTGCTGCTCTGACTTCACAGATACAACACATCAAGCCTAATCCTGAGTGTAAGATATGTAACACACACAGGTCTGGGCACACAGATCAGCTAAAACGGTGCTTACAGACACTTGTTACCACGGATTGTTACTCTAATGGAGGGGTTTTCTTTAAGAGCACCTCTATATTACATTATTACATTAGAAGCAAGACAAGAGGATACGAAATCCTCAACAAAAAAAAATCTCTGCCAAGGTCCTCGTTGCCACAATAAGTTTGGTGAAAGGATGACACCAAGTGTTTAATTAAGATACTGCAATATTGTTTAAAACCTTAATATCAGGATTATTTTAAGGCTTTTTTTTTTTTTTACTTAAACAGATACAATTAATGAATGTTTAAATATGAATGTAGTCATCACTTATGATACATCATTTTTCAAAAGAAGCACTTTTTAAGACATTGGTAAAGAAATCTTTGCATCTTGAAATATCAGATCATCGATCATTGTACAATTTTAAAACTAAAAAAGGATGCATCTACGTTAAAACTGTTTCGTTACCGGAGGGAGGGTTCTTAGATCAAATGATTTGGGCCTATATTTATTAACAAGTTTTAAAGAACAACTTGGAACCATTTACCAACTTACAAGAGTTTACTGCCTGCAGAGTATTAAACATTTTCTGCTAAAAATTAATTAAATGGATGTTCTTCTAGATTATGGCAATCGCGACTTTTCTTACTTTATGATGTAATCAATAGGGCAGCGCTGTTAACACATTCCCTCAACATGAAAGATCCCCGGTACAAGACTGGGAGGAGGCACAAATCCCCGAGAGCAGGCACAAATCCCTGGGAGGGTTGCATCAGGAAGAGCATCCAGCTTAAAACTCAGTGCCAAATCAAATATGTGGCTCCATCTGCTGCAGCAGCTCCTTACAAACAAGGGAGCAGTCATAAGCTTTTTCTTTATGATGTAATTTTCCTCATTAAAAACAAAATCTAAGCACCGATCAATAAACATCAATCAGCGACCAGTAATTTTTTTTTAATGCAAAGTTGGCATAACGAGAGGTATAGCAAGAAAAGTTGCTGTTGCAGACATTAAGTACTGCACCTTAACCAATTTTAGTGTCCTGTGGATATCTGTTTAAATTTGTAGTATTTTGCAAAGTATTTTTAGAGCTAAGCTTACCAGTTTGAATAAATGTTACAGCTGATAAATGTAGGCTCTGATCCATGGCTGACAAGTGCTTGTGTGCTCACAGGCACATTGCAGTTGACACAACACGATAATATGCATATTCACAGTCTGACCTATCTTTGCACACGGTAAACGACACAACACATTCTTGTTTTTCATCCTTTAGTAACATTAAAACATTTTTATATGTTATTAGATTAACCTTTCTGGAATGCACAGTATTATTCAGGACAATCACTTTAAAAGATAGATATACAAAAAGAAGGCCTGCAAAGCCTCACACAGACTGTATTGCAACACAACGTAGCTCTGTAGCATCTTAAAGAAATACACATATTTAAGTTGTCCTTTCATGATGTATGTTGGATCTCTATCAACATGCATCAAGGTGGATCCTCTGGTGGCGTTTGAGATTACATTTCTGGGTAAAGCGTTTGCCACAGGCCAAGCAGCAGTATGGTCTCTCTCCAGTGTGGACGCGACGGTGTGCTTTAAGGTTGCTCAGCTTGGTGAAACTCCGGCCACAGAGCGAACAGCAGAAAGGCCGCTCACCTGTGTGAGTCTGCAGGTGGGCCTTCAAGTTACTGGGGTGGGGGAAGCACTTCCCACACTGCCCACAGCGTAGGAGATGCCTTGGAGCGGCGTGAGACTGAGAGTCTGGATGGGTACCAGGACTGACGTGGTGAGAGTTTGCAGGATGGTGCTGGGACCTGTTGCTGACCCAGGAGTCTCCAGTTCGGTTAAGGGTTGATGTCTGTTTGTCACCCAGGTGAACTCGCTGGATTGAGGATACAGCAGGAGATGCTTTGGATGTGGAGGGAATTCTTTGAAGGTTATTTAAGTTTACAACTTGAGAGGGAGCTATAGACAGTGCCGCAGCGGTACTGTTCGAGAGAGTGTGAGTGGGCTTTTTCATCGGTCGGTGGAGATGCTGTAAAGCGGCTTGCAATCTGAAACCTGAACCGGCTTTGGAATGTAGCTTCATAACCTCTTGCACAGCAGCTTTTTGAGAAATGTGGTTTAGTCTGTGTGCTTCTGAACTCACCTTGTGCTGCTTTACTGAACATGAAAAAGAGGACATACCTGAGTTTGTTATTTTCTTTTCTATACGCTCACCTTCCTCACATCCATCAGAATCAAGAATGACTTCCTTCTTGATAGTCAGGCCTAAAACATCACTGTTTTTTAGTCTTGCCTTAGGGGACCCTGAGGATGAACTTTTATCTCTGCCTGGGGTAACCTGAATGTCCGCTCTGACAGAATCAGACAGCTCATTTTCTGCTTTAGTTTTGACTGGATCACGTTCCGTTTCAGCTCCAAGTCTGGGATTGTGCAACAACTCAGCGCCTGTGACAGTCAAGCCAGCCCAACTGGTATCTATTTCCAAAGATGAAACACGCGGTCGATCTGTAGACAGGTGTTTTTCCTGCCTGTCTTCAGGAAAGCCATAACCAGCAGCTATCTGTGGGTCTTTCTTCATGACATTTCTCAATAATTCCTCACTGTTTTCTTCAGTCTGTTTGGGTTGTACCTCAACTGTTCCACTCTCGTTGTCTGATCCAGGTCCCTCTTCATCTAGAAAATAAGGATTTTTCTTTTTAATTAAGGAAATAAAAATAAATTAATTTAAAAATGCAACAATGTTATTGTTTCTTTCAGGCCTGAATTCCTTTTAGGTGCACTGAAGTAAAGTGGACAACAAAAATTCTATCTTCGTTTTGGAGATAGGGACCAGTCACTTTAATGTCATCTTCTAAATTTGAAAAGCCATTTTATTCTAATTTACTTTACTGAATTTATTATACTAACGTGTTGTATTATATCCTACTATTTGCATTATATTCTACTGTACTTTATTAAGATTTTTACTTTATATTGGCTACTTTGTTTTATCATATTAGGCTTATTGAAGAAAAAAACCTAATCTTTTCTGTTCTAGGTTGTGTTTAATGTTTTGCATGCTGTAATAAAGGAATTTCCCAACTTTTCAGATGTTCAAAGTCTATTTGAGCGTATGTTAGCATGCACATCATTGTAGGTACCATTAATGCTGAAAAACACCAACTGCAATCCAGGCGACACCTTTCTGAGAAAATGTCTTGCTTAATTCAACATTCTTCATGTAAAAGAGTCTGAATGTTAAAGTGGCCTACATGCTACACAAACCTGTCATGAACTGGGGTGGGGAGTTTGAACAACAACGAAGGATATGGAAATTGCCTAGTGGTCACTGTTTGTCTGGCAATTAATTTTCCCCAGGAGCCACAGAGATAAAAAAAATATATATATATATATTAATTTATTAATGTTGAGCAGAACTGAGTTGAGGTTAACAAGTCAAGCTCTCCAAAAGCAAAGAATAAATTATAAAACAATGTGTCAACCATAACACCTGCTTGAGGGGATAGGGAGCTATATCACGGCACACGGTAGGGTCGAGAGGGCATGTGTTTGTGCAATAAATAATGCTTAATGTTCCTTTACTATGGACAGACTGAAAGAAAGATAAGATCCTAACAATACGTACCACTACAGTTCCACCCTCCCATATGCACAGAGGAGCAAGATGGCTGACTAACTTCTTCCTCCTTCGTAGCAACAGCTGATCTCACATCCTTTTCTTCTGCTGCCTGAAGACATACAGTGCATGAAATACTGTGAATATCTACTGGTTCCATTTCACCAATTTTTAGAGCCATTATCGAAACTGTTGTTTTTTTTATACAACATTACAGCTCTTATAGCACTTGAAATGTGTCCAGAAGCACCCAATAAAATACAGATACATAAAGAAGATGATGATTATTTAATGTCAGTACAACATCATAACTTTGCTCTGGTAGTCATTTAATCTGGCTCACCTCTGGCTCCCTTTCAGGGCTCTGTGCAGCTGTAGCACTGTCTGCCTCTGGTAGCGACTCTGATTTGTCTTCTAGTCTGCAGCTTGCTGTCCATCTTTCAAAAGAGTCACTCTCGGTCTTCACACTAAGGCCCCTCACTTGTTCTTAAAAAAAAAACAGAAACACAACAGTGTTTACAATATTTAGGGCATCCCATGACCTATATAAAATTCATTTTACGCCTGTTTCTTCTTACCTTCCTGATGGTTTTTAGACCTTTCTTCTGCAGTGTCAGTGGACAGTTCCACACCATGCCTTGCACAGTGCACGCCCCTTCCAGTCTTTCCTCCTTCTTTTCCTGCTTGATCCTTGAATTTGCTGTCAATCCACTGCAGCTGCATCCTCAGGGACTCTATCTCCTGGCTCCTGCGCTTCACCTCCACCAAAAACACATCTTCCACCAACCTGGTCACCTCAAACATGGCTGTCTTCACTACAGCCTCCATCACATCTGAAAGCTGGGTCTGAAAGGTGACTATGAGGGTGTCCAGGTCCGACATGGTGCACTCTATCAGCCTCCCTTGTCTATTAGCTGTTACTCACAGGGCTTATGTGCTTTAGTGAATGAATGCAAAGGAGAATGACGTTTGATGTTTTATTAAATGGTGTATTGTGAAAATCCTGCTACATGTTGTAAGCTGAAGGCCATAACCGCAGAGTAATTTCTATTCAACAATACACCAATTTTCCGCTGTCGGTATTCCCCGTGAGGAGGGATAAGCTTTTATTAATACCATTATTAATGGTAAAAAGCAGCCTAACGCGATGTTTACTGATATGACACGTCGATTTGAACTGTCAGCTAGCCAGCTAATATTTAGCTGTAGCATTCGTGTGATATCGTTTCCGGTACGAGTGCTACAGACACTGTAAACGGGAGTGAAATCTTAATTGTCGAGATGTTTCACCCGTGGGTTTTTGCTTTCGATTGTAACAGCTGTTTAGATAAGGGAATTAAATTGCGTTGAACGAAGCTAGCTACTTATCACTCGCCTGTGGTCCTTGTTTTTGCTCGTGGCGTCACGCACAACGCAGTACGGTGGCCTCGAGTGGAGACGAGTAAAAAACGAAACGCGTTTTACTAAAGTGAAACCATCAGGCTGCACCTGGCAGTCAGGTTTAACTTGTAATCGTTTTGCGGACATTTTTTAATCATACTTTCTTTCCGGCCGACTGGACAGCGTTTGAAAATGTGAAGAAGAGTGTAAATTTTGGACTTTTAATACTACATGAAAGTAATTAAGTATTAGATAATTAAATGACAGAAAATCTCCATTTTTTTACTGTCTACTACAGAATTTATGGGCAGTTAGAACTAACAGAACTTATTCTTTTGCACATTATTTTTTTCTTTTACTAAAAAACTATTAGTTTTGTCGTAGTTTTTCTATCATGTAGAAAGACTAAGTTTTCTTCCATTTTTTTTTTGTATCTTGAGAATTAAATATGTAGCTAAACTTCTTTACACAAACAGAAAAGGCAGTGGTATTCCCACTTGCCTGCTTTAGGCCTTTCCCTGAGTCCAGACCTTAAATTAAATCCACTTCACTGAGTTTACAGTTCTGTCTCATATCCCCACAACAAACCTTTGCTTCCACAGAAAATTAACTTCCAGCATTCTTGTGAGGTTAATATGCACCAGTTTTTACCACGTTGTGGTGGAAATGTCTTTAAGGAAAATGCTAGTGTATATAATACTAATAATAATATTACTTTTTTTAACAGCAAAATAAAAACATTAGATAAACAAATGAAATCGTAACTATAAAATGAATCAAAGTAATTTGATTGTACTCTTTCTATTCCTTTAAAAAAATATTTAAATGTATCAGGCCCTAGATTTCATTAGGCAATAAACAGGCAACATGACTTTTAAACTATAAAAACGGTGCCTCTGAATTTGTTTTGAGAACACAGACTCCTAATACACATGGGACCAAGACTATTCAGCTGCTGTCTAGATCAATATGCTGTTTGGTGTGTGTGGTAGGGATGGTTATATTTACCATAAAAGATTCATCAGTTGTATGAATTCATATTTCATGAGCAAACAAAACTGACTGTTGAAGAAAAAAAGCCCCTGTTAAAAAAGTATTATTCTGACATCTCTGCTTCTTTCATGCGCTTCATGAAGGCAACAAATGTGTGTATTTTAAATATTGGGCAGAACATCTTCTTTGAGTCTGTATCTATTAGCTGTCAATTGTTTTATTTGTATGGCTCTTTATTATATACAAACATTTACAAAAGAAATCTTATTTTGTCATACAGGATTCTCTTTAGTAGCTAACTTTAGACAATAAAAGTTAAAACACACACACACACACGCGTGTTGCATCTTGTGTTTTTCCTGAGTCAACCTTTTCTCTTTACTTTTGTAAATCTAGAAGCTCTTATTGACTTTTCCAATCAATACCAGATCTTACAGCATCAAATAAAGCATTTGAAGAAGCTGAGGTCAGACTTATGCTTGGCTCAGTCTACAAACTACAGATGTTTATATAATTTCTTGCTCCATACAGATGGTGAATTGACCAAGAAACACAACAAAGTACACATAGATATCCATCCATCTCTTCGACTTATCCTTTCCTGGGTCGAGTCGGGGGGCCCTATCCCAGCTGTCTAAAGGCAAGAGGCAGGGTACACCTTGGACAGGTCGCCAGTCTGTGGCAGGGCTAGCACATAGACCAGTGGTTCTCAAGTTGTGTGGCAGGTGGGGCGCAAGTTACCTGGCAGAAAAGTTATGCGGAACTAACGATTAACATCGGGATCACTTTTATGGCGGTACAAAGAAATTTGTGGCAGTTACATAAATAATATGTGCATCCGCTGAAAAGCTGCAGCCGTTTTTGTGTAAGTTGATAGTCGCAATAAAGAAGTGCTGAAAATCTAGGCTTTTCTTTCTTTGTTGTGTTTAGAGGGGGCGTGTCATGTGGGGAATGATGTAAAATGTTTGAGAACCACTGACATAGACAGCCATTCTGACTCACATTCATGCCATGGGCAATTTAAAGTTTCCAATGAACCTACCTCCACTATCTTCATGCCTTTGGACTATGGAAGGAAGCTAGAGTAGAACCCACGCAAACACATGCAAACTCCACACAGAAAGACCCATGCTGATGGTGGAATTGAACTAAGTACCTTCTTGCTGGGAGGCAACAGTGAAAATCAAAACATTACTCCATTACTACCTGGGTGACGTCATTAGGAAGTATGTGCCAAGAACTAACTTCAGGAAACAAGAATATAAACAGACAATGGCATCTAAAGCCAGTTTTATTTTCAATCAGCTGAGTAATCACAAAGATATTGTTGGTCAAGTTTTTCAGTTATACTCCAAGGCAGTATATTTTTAATGAGTATAAAATATGCAGCAGTAACTGATTACAAATGAGACTTATTTAACTGAATTTGATAGACCTTATCTATCCATCACAGGCTCATTAATATAAATATTCACTTAAGCCTTCAGATAGCACAAATAATATTAAATAATTTGATACTTCTTCTCCCAAGGAATTATAGATCTGTCATGTGCTTGCGTTGATGGGATTTCAGATGATCCAGGCGTTTGAAGCTGAGACCGCAAACAGTGCAGCAGTATGGTCTTTCCCCTGTGTGGGTACGCTGGTGAACCTTCAATATGTCTGCTCTTGTGAAGCTCTTGTCACACATGGTGCACCGATGAGGTTTTTCCTGTGTGTGAATTCTCTGGTGCAACTTAAGATTCCATAGACGGCTGAACTTATTCCCACATACTGTGCAGCAATATGGTTTGTCCCCTACTTGACCACATTTGTGTGCCTTTAGGTCAGAAAATGAAGGAAAACCTTTACCACAATGGCTGCAGAGGTGAACCCCTTGCCCTAAATGAGTCCTTTGGTGGACTTTAAGGTTACAAGCTTGAGTAAAGGTCTTTCCACACTGGTTGCAGGAGTATGGGGGCACTTGTCCAGTGCCTTTGTGTGTGTGTTTGTGAGCCTTGAGGGAAGCAGAATCCGGGAAGGACATGGAGCACTGGTTACAAGTGTATCTCCTTGCTCCTCTCACTGTTGCCTGATGTTGCATCTGTTGTCCCACGTTTAAGGTATCGCTGTACGTATCTGAAGACTCATACATATCCTCAGTGCTGTCTAGAGAAGGGCCAATACGAATACCCTGGCCGCGGAAGCTGAATCTACTACCTGAATCACTGGACACTTGTTCAGGGTACAAGACATTTGTGTCCTGCAGATACCCCTCCTCATTAATTAGTAAACAGCTGAACTCTCCACTTACATCAATGTTAGTCCTAGAGGGGGAACCTGAGGGTGAACCTTCCTGATCCTTTCTATTCCGCTGAGTGCCTGTTTGGTAAGCTTGATGATCAGCTCCTTCTGGTGCTTCCACATCCTCATCATAATGGCCCACATAACTCAGATCTTTGCCCAGGTGCGATGGTGAATGTATCCCATCAAAATTACCCATGTCTATTATTCCACTGTCTCCATATCCAGACTTGTCAATGCCATCTAAGTCTTCCATGCCGTACCTGTTTGGGAACAGAGGTTCAGAAGGTTCACCCGAGTGTCCATCATTGTTTGATTCTGCTCTCTGCTCAAATCCAGTTTCCCAGTTTACTTGGCACTTTGGGATCTTTTGGTCATTAAAACATTTACTGGGTCCTGGAAGAGCTGACACATCTGCTTCTGAAACACGAGTAGTGAGAAAAAGTTAAAATAGCCTCACTGCATTCAATATACACCATACATTGTGTTGTCTCTATTTGTACAGCACTTGAAAAATTAACGAGAAATTAATTTGTTAAATTTTCTGCATGTACTTGCACAGAGACTTACCATCTAAGCTGATGTGCCACCCTTGCGACTCATCATTTTCTGGTGGGATCTGAAGAGCTTCTTCCTTGAACAGTCCAGTGCCTTGAATACCTGATGACTGGGAAAAAAAAAGTGGAAAGGCAACATTAATCCATCAGATTTTACCTTAGTTGCCTTAATTAGAACCCTAACTTTGGCAAGCAGATCTAACTTAATGCTTAAGAGTTTTTCAAACAAAAAATAATTAAAATACTTAAAAATATTACATGGATGCTGTGTAATTTGCACAGTCAGTTCCCATACCCCCACAATTTTTAACAATATAAATGATTCAATTTTCATGGTGCATGGGTCACCAAGAGAGCATTAGTGAACATGTCTCCCACCCCCCCAAAAAAATCACATTTCGTCAGTTTACCCATACCACAAATGTTTCCTTGGTTTATCACACTCTCGCAGTGGCTCTATACCCCATAATATGAGACTAAGTGGCTTAAAGACACATTTTATACACAACTTTTGTTTTGTAAATTTATGAAGCTGTATAATGTACTAAAACTATCATACCTGCGTTGCTTTTGTGGCACTTTGGGGCTCTCTTTTTTCCTCTCCTTCCTTCTCATGGCTCAGTGTACATCCATCAGCTCCCTGGGAACTATTTATTTCTTCATGAAGCACAGTCTCCTGTTTCAGGCTTTTCTCTGAAAATAATAGATTTTTTTTTCATTTTTTTTTTTCCATTAGAGAACATGGCTTTTCTTGGATTTCAAAGATTTAGAAAACAAAATAAGGCAAAGGTCAGTTGAGTCATATAATGTCAAGAAGATTGCCTCTGAGCTCTAGCAATCTTCTTTAAGCAGCAAAAAAGGAAACAATTTTTGGTGTTTAGTGAAAATCATAATTAACAGTGGGTGATCAGAATCTGTTTATTTTCCCAACTATGTTTAACTTAGGGTTACAAATCCAAAAGCCAAAAGGAGAAATATGTGAATATGTGGCTATGAACATAGTCAAAAGAAACATATGATTATGTTTCTCTTAAAACCCACAAGAAATAGAATTATAGATTTTTTCTTTCGGGGAAGAGATGTAGCAGTATATTACAAAGTTGTACAGACAAAGTTCAAAGTATTTTAAATGAACTTTTTTTCCGCATTCTGGTGCTTGATTTGAACTTAAGCACGTTGTCTTGAC